CACCCTGTTCAGTTCAGTTAATTCAGCAAGGACACAGAAAGATTTTTTTATTATTTTTTTCTTGAGCAGTAGAAAAATTGTAGCCTGGGGGCATGTTGCTTTGACAGATTGGGGTTATATGGTTGAAGCTGACCTATGCAGCTTCCTTCCCCTTCCCCCTCCTGGCAGGCGGCATGAAGCATGTATGATTGGAAGTGGCTACCCTTATTTTGCTCTTTATCTGATGGAAGGCCACCACAGTAGTCAAGAAGGACTTGTTATAGATTTTGCTTTTCCTGTGAGGGATGCTTGAAAGCTCAGTGAAGAACCTGTAGAAATATAAATAAGATATTTTTGCTGTGTGGGAGGAAAGCATTTAATCACAGCAAAGAATAGGGGATTGCACAGTCAAATAAGCCGTTCTTGGCAGATTCTCGAAACCAGCAGTGGGAAGGAAGAAGGGTGTATCGAATAGGAGTGGAGGAAAGCATAAATGGATATGAACTGAAGAGAGATAATAGCGTCATATTTAGAATCTGTCACTTTATCAGAGTTATGTTGACTGGTTATTAGCAAAAGAGAAGGAATTGTTTTTTAGAGGAAGAAGGGTTTCATTTCCCCTTCATTAGCTGAGGAACCTGCTCGCAGGAATTAAGGCAGAATATGGCTAAATGGGGGCTTCAGCCACTCCCTCATGTCTGCAAGAAAGGGTTATTTTTAACCCAGATCTGCTCAGTGACTGCATTTGCAGCATGGCCCTGAAAAAAAAACACAAAAACAAAAACAAAAAAACAACCTCTGCTGGCAAAACTAAGGCTGCTTTGTGCTGCTATGTGAGAATGGGCCGGAGAGGTCCGGGGTGGGAATCCTGTAGGGCAACAGTGCCCCTGACGCCTGTGTCATGAAAATATGCCTCAAGTTAACTATTGTCCCCTGACCTCAATCCATGCTGAAACAGGGGCTTTGCATAATCATTGAAGGAGACGGTTCCTGCTCCAAAAGATGTTATGTTTTGAAATGCCAAAATAGACAAAGGAGACATTGTCAGCCCTTCACACGTGGGAAACAGAGGCAGAGAGAGATTTGTCTGGGGCACAGGCTAATTCTGACAGAAGGGGGACATACACTCAAATGTCCTGAATTCATTCATGTACTACAACCGCAGGATTGCCCTTCCTTTTGAATATTGGATTTTTTTCTCCCTGAAACTTCAGTTCTAATACAGGGCTGAATATCAAAAACATGATTTCATTTTGCTCTGTTTAATAAATACGCTAGTGATTCCTTCCTCAGATGAAGCTGTGTAGGTTGCATGCAAATCCGAGTTGCAACGCTGAAGCTGCAAATTGCCCAGGGAGCTCCAAGTGGATTTTCACGTTGGGATCGCCAGGGACAATAATGCAAGGAAAGGCAGAGGTGTGACTTTGGCATCTGCTTTTCTTTGTCCTCCTGGGCATCACAAAACCCACGGATATGTAGAAGGGGAGCCTGCAAGAGTAGTAATGCTGTACTGCCCAGCTTCACGCGGGAGGAAAAAGACAAGAAATATCTTACTAACTAGAATGTCCATTTTTCTTGCTCAAGCTTGTTAACTCCAGGAAGGCCAGTGAGACTTGGTGTTGCATGACCAAACTAGGGCTGTTTGGGTTTTTTATGAGGCAGTATTGAGTGGAACCATCTGGGCTAGGAGAAGACCACACTTCTGAAATGAGCCTTTAGGAATACTTAAGTTAAGTAGCTGTCTGGGGCACCACGCTGAAAGGAAGGGCACTCACAGCTGCATGTATTTTATGGGTTTATTTTATCTCTGATGACAAAAGAGAACTTACTAGTCATGTGGTTCCTCATAAATTTCAAGCCACTGCTGACAAGTGGCACTGCCTGTATTCTCAACCACGCCGGCGCAAAGTTCCCCCGACTTTCTGGCTCGCGATGTTAATAACAACGCTGCTAATGGATGATGCTTTAGAGAGATACCAAACTTTTCTCTGAACTTAAAGGCCATCCCCAAGTTACAGTTTGAGAATGGAAGTACCTTGGGTGAATACTTCCATGGTCATTCATCTAATATCAAAGTGGCTCATCTCTCTGGTTCCTGAGGCTCCAGTATTCCCAGAAGTGTGCAGTTCACTTTCCTGAGAGCCGAGTGAATCTGTATCTCAGAAACCAATATCCTTCTAGAAAGCTAAATACAGGTTTGACAGCATAACTTTCAGTATGCCAATGATGCATCTCAACTTAGGCAGTTTAACATATTCTTCTGCATTGCAAAAAGAATCTCTGTTTTGTTTTGGTTTTAATTTATGCTCTTTTGGGTGGCAGCTTCCTAAAGTACCTCAAGGCCCTGGTTCTGCTGCCTGTATTCCAGTTTCCAAAGATATATCTTGTTTCCACATTAGGAGGCCAGCTTCCCTCCTTCAAGGACTTTTCTGTGTGATAGACCTGGAAAGCAGCACATCAAATTTGATATAATTTAAAAAAATGTAACCGATTTTCCTATGCTTTCTATTCACTGAGGTGAATCCTAAAGAGACGTCACTCATCGTAAAATACTTAGTATTGCCTCAACTAAGATAACAGCTCTTACAGTGCACATATGAAGAAAGAAACACTTGCTCCTTAACCTTCTTTCAATCCTTGTCCTGTTGAAGCTGTCTCTGTTTCAATGGACCCTAGAATCTTTGCATGATATTTATTAATCTGATTTACTAATAGACTCCTAAAGTTTAAACTGATAGAGAGAGGGAAGACGAAACTCAGGCTTACGGGAATCAGATTCATTCCAGCTCTGCCACAAACACCCATTTGACTTTCTGCACATCATTTAACGTTTGTTATTCCCCCTGTCTACAAAATGCAGATACTAATTCTTCTTTTTTTCCCTAGCCATACTTGTACAGACTGCAGGTTTGGACAGGAATCAGCTCCTTCTGTGTCTTTGGATACCTCACAAATGAGTCCCTGATCTTAGGTGAAACTTTAGTTGCTTCTGTAAGCCACATAATGATAATTGGCTTCAACCTGCTTCAGGAAAAAACTCCACCTTTGGATTGCATTGGTGTAAATAAAAAGTCCACTACAGTTCACAAGTCAAAAAATGCTGGTGGTGTTTAGCATCAATATCTGTCGCTTGAACATCTGGCATTCGTCGCTGCTTTCCTTTTCCTTCCACTGTCATATTTTATCCCCATCTGTTAGAGGTTTCTTAGCACTGTCTGTATAAACCATAGCTGCATCTCAGTCTGGGTAGTTGAGTCATTACAGGCTGCAATGTAAATGAAGGAAAAAGAGGTAAATTTAAGGAATGTGTTTCTCTTATGCACTCTGTTCCCCTTCTTTCTCCCCTCTCCCTGTACACAGACAGCACTAGACAGTATTGCTAGACAGTGTGATACCCTCGCTATGAAAAGACATGGAAAAGGTTCCAAAAATAGCAAATGTTTTTACCAGCCCTAGTTCTGAATTCAGAAAGCAGGAGAGGAGTTGAAGCCTGAGTGGAGACCCATTGCCATTGTTGGAAAGACAAAAATTTACTGCTTTGGAACAACCCTTCAGCAAGTTAATAAAAAACTGGGAAAGCAAACATTCCTTAAAATCAGACTTCCCAGGCAACGTCTTAGATGTATTTTCTTAAAATTAAATTACTCTTATTGCAGTAATTTAAGTTACTGCTAGAAAGAATAATATTGAAGGTGCTAGGAAAATATGGTGTGTTAATATTAGCCAAAGCAGAATTTTTAGACTTTTTTTTTTTTCCCACAAAACACTGTGCAGTACCCTCATAACGTCCATCACATTCAGCTCTCCCAAGCCGTGCCGGCAGGGCAGCAGCGAGCCATAGCAGCATTCCAAAGATGCATTTCTGGTGGGGAAATGAATCCACTACTACCTCTATATGAAATATTTCCAGTAGCATGCGCGCATTACCCCACCAAAGCCAGGTGTTCTCGTTTGTGCACAGTGTCGCACAGCCCCCTGTGCTGGGAGCACATGTGGATTTAATTCCCTGCCAGCTTTAGCAATTAGAGAAGGTATTTCCTTGTTCTAGAAACACTTGGAGACACCATAGTCCCAGGCTACTGAAGCCAGGGGAAAAAAGGCCCATTTCTCTCTGTCTGGAGAGGGTCATTACAGACTGCCATTGCTGTCAATCCCAGAACTTTATCCAGGCTCAAGGTGGGCTGAAGCTGGAGGGTCTCTTTGTACAAGGCAGCTGTCATGTTTTCAGTTCAAGGCACTGCTTGTATTGTTGGGGACTTCATTAAGCTTGGA